CTGGGTGTTAAACGTAGTGTTTTGTTAATCTTTTGGTTGAGCAAGGCCCAATTTAACTTGGTATTAGAGTATTCTGTGGATGGCTCTCCTAGAATTATCCATTTCGGGTCACTTTTCTCATTTGTCCACTCATTCGGTTTTCAAGACCAGTTTGGCTTGTGGAGCATCTGATGAGTATCTCACATAGGTTTTTGGCCTGTTTTTAGTTTAGCAGATAGGTATGAGGTTAAGTCAAAATCATGACGGCCTTTTTGAGGCGAGTTAAACCGAATATAACTTGATATGCAGGTCCACTTACTGTTTTTTGGGTGGGAGCACCAACCACTCTATGTGTTGGGTTAGCCTGTTTGAGCCTATTTGTCCACCTTTTCAGTTGTCCTGCACTCCAGCTGACATAGGGTTAGGAGGGTGTGCCAAGTATCCAACATGGTTTTCCTACTAGGAACATAGTCACATGGATCGTGGTACGTTTCTGTACGCGGTACGAAAACGGGAACGCGGATCGCCAAAATTAGAAATCAGATACGTATGGGGTAGGCTTTTTCGGTAGGCGATTTCGGTACGCGGTACGCTGTAGCCTTTGTTTATGGTACGGTGAACCATAAACATATTGAATTTACGAAGTATAAATATAATTAATATGAAGCATAATATTAAACAATTAACTTCAATAACATTAAACAAACTTAACAATGTTTGCAACTGAGGTAAGGCCTTTAAATAAGTTATGTTGCGTGAACTGTGAAGTGTGAAATAAGAATGAAAAGTCGTTTCACACTATTGGGAATTCAGGGGTCGGGTCATTTAGTGAAATACGAAGTTCGTACTTCGTACTACAAACTGTGAAGCTCGTCAGTCGCCTACCATCTACAAACTTCAGAAAAACAATTCAAACATCAAGACTATTGGACTGCCGGTCGTTGGACGCTGGATGGAACGGCGAACGGCAACTTGGAATCGGCGTAGCCGCTGGAACAAAGACGCGAACTGCTACCTGGATCCGCCGTACCCGAAACGAGAACCACAAGCGATCAGCGCGCGATTGTAACGCGATCCGGTACGCGCGATCCGGATCGGAAATCGCGGGTAGTTCTTCGATCCCTGTACCTATGACTAGGAACCCCCATATCCCTTCATGATGATCTTTTCGAGATGAGTTGGGCTAATTTAGGGAGTGTTTGTGATTGCTTGTGCTTTATAAAAGTGATTTATTTAAGAGATTATGAGAAAAGTGATTTATAGTAAAAGTGGATAGTGTTTGTAAATAGAAGTGATTTTAATTAAAAGGTAAAAGTTGAAGTGTTTGATAAAAAAGTGATTATTGATGTCATATATAGTTAAAATACAAAAATACTCATGTCCAAATTTAATAGATAATTCAAATAAAAAATTTAATGGAAGAAGGAAGGCTGTGTCCCTTCTCTTTCTCTCTCGCTAGTGAACCCACTGGCCACCCAAACACACAGGTCGCCGGATTATTCCGCCATCCTTCGCGCTGCCGGTTTTGCCACTCCCGTGCCGATTTCATCCCATTATACCAGCAACCAACATCAGAACTGGGACTCCTGCGGACTCGATGAAAGCCAACTGCATGCAACCTGAAGCCAACCCCTGTGCACTCCTTTTTCTCTTCCCAGATTTGCTGCAAGTACAGTGAAGGAAGCCACCTTGGCTGCAAATATATATTCCGTATATATGTTGCGGTGTAGAGAAGAAAGAAGGGAGAAAGAGATGCCTATTGCGGTGTCGAGAAGATAGAAGGGGCACTTTTGGTTTAATTGAAATTTTTTATCGAATAATTATCCCCAAAGTTCCAACTGTTTACTAAAATACCTAGAAACAGAAAAAAGCATCCAAATGGCTACTTCCAGCTTTTGACTTAAAATTGCTTAAATTAAGCAAAAAGTTTTCATTTGCAAACACCTTTTAGCTTTTTAAAATCCAAAATCAGATAAGTGCTTTTTTAAGCAATGGCAAACACTGCTTTAATTTCCTCATATAAGATTTTGATGTATTTGAGTGCCAGTATATTGAAGCCATGGATCATATAAAATGCCAACTTATTACGCCTTTTTCATCATTTCATTTCGCAGCATATGAATGAGCAGAAGATATTGAATGGTGTTAGCCTTGAGAAAGATGTTGATGGATTCCACCCACTGAACATTGGGCGCCTCGCCATGCGGGATAGGGAACCGTTGTTTGTTCCGTGCACTCCAAAGGGATGCATTGAGCTGCTGCATAGGTATGGCATTGAGATCAAAGGGAAAAGAGCTGTTGTCATTGGCAGGAGTAACATTGTTGGAATGCCTGCTGCTCTTCTTCTGCAAGTAAAAATTAATATATGATCCCCATCAGTCAATCTTTTCGTTTAGGTTATGGTTTCAGCTCAAGGGAAATAATTAGGGATACAAATAAACATAAGATTTTGAAGGAAAGAAAATTTGTATTTAAAGGCAACAAAATTCATGTCATTCTCTTTTTCATTTACCAAGGTAAAAACTAAATATTACTCCGTATATATAAAATTTTCACGGCACCTCTATTTCGGAATCAAATATACCTTAAGGGTCTGTTTGTGATTTAGATATTGTATGGTTTTGGAGGTAAAGCAAAAGGAATTAAGGATGCCATTTTTATTTATTTTTGAGTTAAGCGAATTTTATCTGATTAAGTCATAAATTAATGACTTTGGAAATATTGTCACATTATAGCACTATTTTCTTAAAATGAAAACCAACATTTCCATTCCCTTCTGTCCAAAATGTTTGAAAATATAGTTCCCAAACATACCTTTAGCAAAACTATTGTTCCATTAAACCTCAATTCTAGTGATTGAATTCGTGTTTAATTTTTTTCTCCCCCCTCCTGTAGAGAGAAGATGCCACTGTGAGTATTGTGCATTCTAGGACAAAGGACCCAGAGGAAATTACCAAACAAGCAGATATCATAGTTTCAGCCGTGGGGCAACCAAACATGATCAGGGGTAGCTGGATCAAGTCTGGTGCAGTTATCATTGATGTTGGTATCAATGCAGTCGAGGTATGGCAGGTCTTGATTTTAAAAACAAAAAAGAATATTCATTTTGTGAGGATTATTCAAATTCATTTAATTACCAGACCGTTTGGTAAAAGTTATTTGGCTTAAATAAACTGAATATGCTGATATCTCTGAAATGAGAATGTGGAAACCACTTGTGTCAAATAGGTAAATACCAATAGCTACTTAGGCTCCATTTGGTGGCCAAAAATGGCTTATTCTGCTTAACACTAGAATACACAGTAGCAGCTTTTGACTTCACTCGTTTGAGATGAAATGGACTGTCAACCAACCTTTTTTCTTTCCGAAAGTTCAGCGGATTCAAACAAACATTTCAGCCAAACAACTCTTACCAAACTGGCTCTTCACTGGCCATATGAACCTACCTTACTGAGAGAGCCTACATAATCAAATTGTGGTTCTGGCTAATCTGACAGGATACGTTAAGCCCCCGAGGGTATCGGCTAGTAGGGGACGTTTGTTTTGAGGAAGCTACAAAGATCGCGTCGGCAATAACTCCAGTTCCAGGTGGAGTTGGGCCCATGACTATAGCAATGCTTCTCTCCAACACGCTCACATCAGCCAAACGGATTCATAACTTTTTCATTTGAACCATTGACTGCAATAGTAGTTGTAGTTCTAACTGCAAGTCAAGATGGATTACACTTGCTAGACTTCCGCGTTGGTGCGAAGCTCTATGAATAGAGAAGTTTTATTTTATTGTGTAATACATATACTGATATACATGCAGAAAAATGTTGATGGATTTATTGGACTTGGCTCAGTTCAATAAATGCTCAGGATTTTGAGGAATTTAATAACATTTCGAAATTTACTACGTATTTACTGGTGTTAGAATGTAACTGGTATGCTGATATTTGCTATTTTAAAAGTAACCGAACCTGAAGCAAATAAACAAAGATGGTAAAGGGCGACCTCAAAGTCTCAAACCCTATCATAATAAACAATGAACAATTATTATACAGAGTACAAATCTGGCATATTGCTCTTTGTGAATCAATAAATGCATTAAAGTAATTTGTGTTATGATTAATAAATACATAGACTTATTCTATATACAACCACAGCATTACTGTGAACAGCCCATATTTTTTTCGGAATTATTGAAATTATTCATTAATGCTATTATACATTTCTTAACACAGAGTCATCATATTCGGAAGAAACTCATTTCCTGAAAAATCTTCCTGAAAACAATGTTCAAATATGAACATAGATTTACACATCCTTCAACATCTAAAGCTTTTTTTTTTTAATTTTTCGGGTTGGGCTGATTCTAGGTGGGTGGGACTGGGTGGTTTGGGGGGGGGGGGGGGGTCAAATTAATTCTAAAAGACAAAAAAAAAAAAAAAAAGTTGCCCGACCCGGTCCTGGTTCTAACACGGGCCAGTAGCGGACCTGAATCTTTATGGCCCGGAGCCTGCCCCGGCCTGACCCAGTCCACCCCTATACCCATTACCCAACCAAACCAAACCTATTCACTCTTCTAAGCAAATGAGTGAATAGGCAAATAAGAATTCGGCGTTTCGTAGGCAAACTTGACTGCAATTCAAGTACTACTCCTGTCATGTGTCATCATTAGAAAAGAGGCACTACAAGTCTACAACATTAGTAGGCAATTGAATTTGAAGAAAACAAACGTACAAGAATTTTGCCACATAAGGACTGAAATTTGAAGAAAACAAAACGTAGGTAATCAAATGTTTGCATTACGGTAAATTATGTATTTTAAATAATTTAATTATTAAAATTTAATCAAGTTGTGTATGGTAATTTTATGGCTGTATATAGAATCTCTCTACCACATAATTACCCTTTAAAGGGGCCGAAATGAATCAAAGCATGTCAAAATTATGACCCAAGTCACCCAACCCATGCCAACTGAAAATAACATTTACCATCACCGAAAATACTTGCTTTTGTTCTGATATCTTTTTTTGTTTGTAATCAAGTAAAAGTGTACCTTAAGTTGGTCTCACAATATCAAATCATCTCAGAAGTTACGATAATACAAGTTCAAAGATATATGTATATATCACTCAACAAAACAGGCATTATTGTAAACCATTTTTACTAAAATAATACAACAAATAAAATGGGCCAAGGGAGTAACAATTAGAGCCCCCAGTCCCCCACTACTTGCAGCATGAGTTGAGTTGCACATTTATTGTAGTAGATTTTGTTTGCGTAGTACAGCAATTCAAGCATTCAACCAGCAGAAAGAATAAAAAGACTAATTTACGGCAGGAGTTTAATTCGCGCTGCAAACTCATCTACCCCAGATCTACTCTGCTTCATTGTGCTTCGAAGGATAGACACCTGTTCACGTTCGTGTGGTTAAATGGTTATAAAAGTAATAAAACAGAGGAATCATATAAATCATCTATCCTCTATGAACACTTACAAGGGTCCGAGAAACACTTGTTTTTGTCTGCTTTGAAACTCAATCAAATTAAAACGTCCTTTATACTTGATATACGATTTTTTTTATTACATAGTTTCATAAACCTTCAGTTTTAATTTTCAAAAAAATATTAATTAAAAACAGTGGTTAAAATTGAGAATGCCTTCACAAAAAAATAAACATTTGTGAGAGGGAGTCATTATCTAAAAGTATGAAGGAGAGTTTTATATAGTACGTGTACGGGTAAGGAAAGCACTCATATTAATCATAAGATGATACCTTGGGATTTTCCATTGAGCTTCCAAAATACCCAATTCCAAAAGACAAAGAAGAAAATACAGCTGCGATCTCAACAGCTTCCACAAATGGCGAGTTTCCATTATCAACCTTAAGTGCAACCAGAAGGCATGAAAACAATTAACTTTTGTGTAGAGAAAGGGAGATTAAGGTCCTGTATGGTAGCCTTATCTGGCTGATGTATCCCATAACTAGAAGGCTAAAGGGTCAAATAGGCCCATGTACCTTTTCGGATTGTTCAATTTGCCCTCCGAACTCAAAAAAGCTCCAATTGGCACCTTGAACTCCATAAAAAGATTCAAATTTTACTTTTTGCAGGTCACAAAGCCGGTCACCGCCACATCACCCGATAGGGTGCCAACTGTGCATGTGACGTGGCAACTTAGGGGGTCAAATAAGCCCCTGAACCCGATCGAATCGTTCAATTTACCCCCTCAACCCTAAAAAATGTCAAAAAAAATTTAAGGGTTGAGGGGGTAAATTGAACATTTCAGTCGGGTTCAGGGGCTTACTTGACCCCCTAAGTTGCCATGTCACATGCACAGTTGGCACCCTACCGGGTGATGTGGCGGTGACCGGCTTGTGACCTGCAAAAAGTAAAATTTGAATCTTTTTATGGAGTTCAGGGTGCCAATTGGAGCTTTTTTGAGTTCGGGGGGCAAATTGAACAATCCGAAAAGGTACAGGGGCCTATTTGACCCTTTAACCTAACTAGAATAAGTATCTTTTGACTAGCTTATTTTTGGCTGAAATGGATGAAATGCCATGTGCATTTTTTTTAGACTAGAAAATTAAGCACAGTACAAATTTCAGAAAAATAACTCTTAGCAAACGCCCTAAGGGTCAGAAATTGTCTCTTACCATTTGGGGAGCCTCAGCTTGAACTAGTAAAACTCCAGCACTTCTTTCAGTGCAATATTTACTGCTGTTTTCTTGATTGAAAGAGCGTATAACCTTTGAGCAGGCAGATGCTGGTCCAGCTTCAGATCTGCCAATAAAGGAGAATCACTTCATCATTCCATAGTTAATGCAAAGACAAATGTAATTGATATTTTTGCTGGTTGGCGGGAAATATGACGGAGTCCTATATGAGTCCACTATAGAGTCATATATGACATATGTGACCTAACCACAAACTTTGTTTTTCAAAGTAGGCATTAAAACCTCACTATATAATGAATCTATTACAGTGCCACATATGCCTTATATGACTCCAATGTGGACTCGTAAGGCTCCATTAAGTTTTTGAGAAAAATAGGCAGGAGTTTTGGAAGGGAATAGAATTTGAGGGCAAATAGTTTTTCTATAAACAAAAGTACAAAACTAATCAACTTTAAATATTTTTTCAAGCTCATTTTATTTATATATTTCTCTTAGTAAAGATTTAGAAATCTAAATATATGTGAAAAGTTTACAAGTTCTATCCAAATATGACTTTCATTTGTATTTTCATATGCAAAACATTTTCCTTCGCCCTTCCCCCTTTCTCTACCACTCCACAAGTTCCAAACCTAGCATCACAGTATTCAAGATATCATCTTTAAGAGGCAAAAAATTACATAGATGAGGATACACAACATTCCCTAGCAGCAAATCCTTTCATTAGGTACTCTCCAGCACCACTAACACAACAACCGACTATAAAGGGTGCTCCAAATGGTCCCTTTGAGGATGCCCAACAACCAGAACCGTATGTTGCTGCTAAACCAACTCTCCCACTGACCTGTTGTTGAGTTAAAATCAAAACATCAGTAGGCCAAACAAATAAATTAATACTTGAAAGCACTTGCATCTCTTTCTAGCTAAGCAGAAAGTCTAAAAGAAACAAAGTTCAGTATTACTATGTACACATTTACATTGTCCAAATTTAAACAAAGCCATTCATGACAGCAGAGCCAAAAGTTATATGGAAATACTTGGGTTGTGTTTGGACCACAAACAATGCTAGGAAAAGAAAAGAATGTGAAGGAAAAAGAAATATGAATACCTTTTTCTAACAATTTTTTGACAAATGACAAGTATTTAGATTTCTTATTCTTTATGTAATAGATTATCGACATAAATAAAATGCGTATCAACGCAAACTTAAATAGAATGTCTATCTTTTATTTTCCTCTAATTTTTCTTTCATTTTAGATATAATCTGTGTTTTACTTCCTTTTCCCTCTATAGTATTTCGGATTCCAAACAGACCCTTACAGTCAAGAGATTGGGAGGTAGTGAGGTACAACCGTACAGCTACTAAGAACTTAGTCTGATGAGAAGTACACTGGACATAAATTTTATTTCAGACGTAATAACATGTTTGACACAGAAAATTAAAAAATAAATATTCAAAAGATATTGGAACATCAATTAAATGCAATAGAAAAATGAGAAGGATTGGGGCAGACATATTAGAACAAGCTAACAAAGAATCATCACCTTTAGAGCAATACCACCACTTGAGGCCCCACATGCAATGTGCCCTCGTGAGTCCACACAAATTACTCCAACAGTGTCACTAATCCAGTTCTCATCCAGAGCATTTTCCAAGGGAGATTGGTCACCACTTCTGCTTCCATTCACTTCATCATGCAATTGAGCCTCTACTTATGCAGCGAAAAAACGCATTGACATATTCAAATCCATCCATCCATGCATCATTGACATGGAATATTACATAGCCAACTTTATACCTGAACCTGAATCAATACCCATAGGGTTGGAAGTGATAAATGTGGAAGAAACATCATTGCCAGGAATGCCAGCTCTAGCATCATCAAGCATTCCTCTGTATTTTTTCCACAGGTTTCTGGTCCTCTCAATCACAAGCCACTATTAATACATAAGGAACATAATTATTCCCTCTGTTTCAAAATATATGTCATTTTAAGTTCCTTAACACAAAGTAAGAACCTCATCTATGTAAAACTAGGTCTAACTCACCCCAACTTAATCCTCAAGAAGTGAGGTTTACCACACATCCATTGAACTCATACCTAGTACACAACCAATATAGGATACTCACCAATTTATTAGATATTATGATGTGCATATAGTGACCACTACCAAAGAGAATTGAAAGTAAAGACACTTTTCTCTAATGAAAGTGAAAGGTTTAATTCCAACCAATCAACAAAAAGGACAGATATTAAGAAACAAAATTTACTCAGGGGTTCCCTTTTCTAATGGGAAAATATTTTCCTAGAATATGTTTCCTGATTTCCTATGTTTGGCAAAGGATAATACTTTCCAAGAAAACATTCTATGGATTATAGTGCGCCATTTCTTTCCAAAAAAGAATTGCAGTGTTTAGCAACATAAAATACCCCCCCCCCCCCCCCCTTCCCCCCCGATCTTTTGATACTTTGTGGAAACTGTTTTCCTGTTTTGAACAGGGGAAGTAACTTTCCTGAAACAATTCTGTGGGTCAAACATTATTATATTTTAAATAGAGCAACTTAATTTCCACGCAAAACAGATTGCAGGACAATTTTTTTTCCCATGGAAATAAACAGAGCCTTAAGTGACAAATACTTGGAAGAGAAGAAGTCACATGGTCCATGAGCCTATGTTTGGAAACAACCAAGTTACCATAGCTGGGCAACATGCATAAAGTCACACAGATATGAATGGAAGAAGGATAGCTGGGCAACGTGCATAAACTCACACAGATATGAATGGAAGAAGGAACAAAACCTCGTCGGCTTCTTTTATTGTTCCTGGTAGAACAACACCTTTAGATTTTGCCCATGCTCGTGCACCTTCACCAACCAAAAACCTACAGAAGTGTTGGTAAGCTCATTCCAAACACACAGACACACACAATATGTTATCTTTAGCTAAGGCATCCTAATTCTTAGAGGTGAGATTTAATCTACTTCACATTTATGACTCATTAGACAACCCATTTGAGATACTCAAAACACCCTCCAACCCAAGCCAAGGAGGAGAAGTTAAGGGTGAATAAATGAGCCAAATTGAATCCCAATTCTCAAACCATAAAGTGGAAACACTCCACATGTAACCATCAAATCGGGTTATAATAACACACTACATTGGGTCTAATTCACCTCAAAAGAATCTTCAAGAGGTAAGTTTTACATCATACTTAGAAATTAGACTCAAATCCAATAAAGAACTGATGGAATATTCAACCCAACAAAACAAGAGCTAGATTCATTTTAAGAAGAATACAACTAAGGTTCAAAGAAAGAGTAAACCATACATGGGGGATATACGACCCAGCAGTGTTGAACCGTAAAGCTGGTCCTTGGCTAATAATGCAGCAATCTGGATGGCATTTCTAACACCTGCCAATAATTAACTTCACAAAAAAGGTGTAATGATTATTACAAGTAAAATCAAATGCTCTGAAGGCCATAACTTACATCATAATTGCTTTTCAAATAAAAAATGACCAATTAAAGTTCAATATTTGTGTACCTGGCACTGCCCCTACAGCACCAAATGCTCCAGAATCACCATCCATTATACTTGCATCACATTCCACATTACCCTCCTCAGTCAAATTTGAACCTCGCCCAGCATTTGTATTTGGATCATCCTGAAAGGGTAGGTCATGGTAAACCACCAAAAAATCCGTTACAGCATAACGACCATTTATTTGGTTACACGTACACAGTATAAAATTATCTTTCAATTACCTTTTGAAAGTAAAGTCTTTCATACAATATCGTCAAATGCTATGAGTGTAACTTTTCATTTAAGTTCTGTTAATGTACACTGCTAAGTGGCGAGGAAATGTGAAATGGGAAATGCAGAAACATCACTTTTTAAATGAAAAAAAAGTTGTTATAAAGGCTCCATTAGAGTTTCTTAAGGCGCCGTTTGAAACTGTCAAAAAACAATTGTAATACTATGGGAAAGAAATAGGAAGGAGTGAAGGATTATAGAAAAGATTGAAACAAAAGAAAGTGTGATGGGGGGATAACATTGATTGAAACTCAGTAAACTTATTTATATATTTGTTCAATCTCACTTCACTTATCTATTTTTATCACCCCGTGCATAGAGACTAAGAAATCCAAACATATGTAAGAAAATTAAAAACATGAATAGTATGTAGTTTTAGTTTTCATTTTCTAGAAACTCACTTTCTTACTTCCCTTATCAGTTGTTTTCCTCCCCTAGATTTTTCTGAGATCCACGCATACCCAGAAGGTTTCCTAAAAGTCTCAAAAACAAAGAAATTCCACCCCATAGGAGTTTCCAGACATCACAGTTCATAGGTGTATTGTTGATATAGTAGTAGCTTCAACTAACACTGCTAGTACTTCAAATTACATTACAAAATCAAATGATTTTTAATGCTTCCCTTTCTATCAAAAACTATAAACGAGTAGTTATCAAAGACAAATTTGCTTTGTGATAAACAAATTATTTATACAATAGAGTATATACTATACTTTCCGATTAAAGATCATGAAAAAGATAATTGAATATGGATTGCGATAACAAATATCGGATATCAGATGAACCAACAACTCATAATTACCTCCAACACTTGCACAGCTGCCGTAACAGCATCTATACATCCACCGGGACCCTGAAACGGGGGGGGGGGGGGGGGGGGTAGTGATGTTCAGTAGATAAAACGCACCCTAAAAACGACAACTTTTAATGTATACTGCGAAGAGGGAGACCTTTCCGAGAACGGAAGCGGCAGCGAGGCATGCACGTTTCATAGCCAATCTGAGGGCTTTCTCATTAGACGGAGCGTGGAATCCAGCGCCTACGTGAACAGCGACGAAAAATGTAGGCTTTTTCTCGGCCTCAACAGCCATAGTAGTGTTTTTTGACTTTTTCAGCTCCGGTGACTCTTGGATGGTTTGCCCGGAGGCCGGCGTGTATTCTGGGCCGAGCACGGGGGCCCGATCCAACTAGGGGTCTTAAGGCTCCCAGCTACAAGGGAGTGTAGTCAATCTCGGTGTCTTCGCCCATGGCAAGTGTAAATGTTTTCTCACTTGTTGAGGCTTGCGTTCTTTCTCCTCTTCCTGCCCTGGGTTCACTTCCATATTTACAAATGTGGAGAATTTTGTGTGATATTTGATTTAGTGCTCTATGTTTTGAATGAAATTTGACTTTGCATTCTATTATCAAAATAATGTATGCACCTCAATTCACTATAAAACCATTCCACTTTGCACTCCACTTTTTCACAATTTTTGGACTAATGGGGTCATACGTTAATGATTTTAAAAATGAGATGCAAAATCAAAAGTGGGGTGCAAATTCAAATTCTCCAACACAAATCATGTGTTTAAAATACACAATGATCTATTGATCTTATTGTATCAAACCGTAAGGAATCGGTTTACGATTTAAATAATGGAGTACCATTTGTGTCAAATCATATGGTTTGACTACATTTTTTTATTTTTTAGTATGGTTTGAATACATATATCATGCGGATTATATGTCTTTGTAATTTTATTTTTTTGTTAATATATATGTCTATATGTCTTTAAAAATGTACCATTTTTACTTAAAGTATAACTTTTTGTTATTTTGCTCCGTATCTATTTTTAATTTTGTCTTGATACGGAGTATTTTTTGTTATTATTAGTTTCTTCTAATTAGCTACTAGACATGTAAAATAAATAGACTTACTAGACATATGTTAACTGCTAAAAAGACTCATGTGTTGTAAAATGAAGAAGATGAAGACTAAATTTGAAAGATAGATATATTAATAAAAGCTCTAAATATCTTCTTCTTAATATCTGAGAAGTTCTGAATTTCTGAATGTCTAAGTTAATTTACAAAGAATTGAATTAGCCCTATTTATACTAGCCAGGCTTGGGGATGAATCATCTAGGAATGATTCTACACAATTTGCTGGCAGTATTAGATCTACCCATCTGTCTAACTATGATTACAAGGATATAAATTAGATGAGTAAGCTTATTACAAGGATCAGAAGTAGCTTGGTGTCCTAATGACAAGGATGGACATTCACACTTGTCAATTTGGTGATTTTACAACACTCCCCCTTGAATGTTCATCCTTGAATAGTTGTCTATTATTTTAAAAACTTATTGTGAAAATTAAGAGGTAAAGATTACGACTTATAATGTCGTTGTATTTGGATGTACTGTCTCGTTAAAAACCTTATCAAGAAAAACCCAGTGGGATAAAAACCTGATGAAGGGAAAAAGAGTGCAGTGCATTCAAATACTCCCCCTGAATTTAGTATACATTATGAAGACGTCGCATGCCGATTTTCTGTACAAGTTCCATGAACTTCTTCGGGGGTAAAGATTTGGTGAAGAGATCGGCTGGATTTTCATGGGATCTGATTTGTTGAATGTTGATCGTCCCTTCTTTCTCGAGATCATGAGTAGAGAAGAACTTTGGTGATATGTGTTTTGTTCTGTCTCCTTTGATGTAGCTTTCTTTAATCTGAGCTATGCACGCAGTGTTGTCTTCGTAGATCACAGTAGGATGACAAGTAATAGGCTTCATACCGCATTCATTTTGGATGTGTTGAATCATAGACCGTAGCCACACACATTCTCTTCCGGTTTCATATAATGCAATTAACTCCGAATGATTTGATGATGTAGCTGTCAATGTCTGCTTCATAGATCTCCATGAGATTGCGGTGTTACCATAAGTAAATACGTACCCGGTTTGTGATTTCGCTTTTTGAGGATCTGATAAGTATCCAGCGTCTGCATATCCGATTAAATCGGCTTTTTCATCTTTGTGGTAGAATAGGCCGAGATCAGTTGTACCGCGAAGATAACGGAATATGTGTTTGATCCCGTTCCAATGACGTCTTGTTGGGCATGAACTGTACCTAGCTAATAAATTTACGGAGAATGCAATATCTGGTCTAGTATTATTAGCTAAATACATTAAAGCTCCAATAGCACTCAGATATGGTACTTCGGGACCGAGTATTTCTTCATCATCTTCTCGGGGACGGAATGGATCATCGTGTATGTTGAGAGATCGAATCATCATTGGTGAAGTCAAAGGATGAGCTTTGTCCATATAGAATCTCTTCAAAACTTTCTCGGTGTAATTGGATTGATGGATGAAAATTCCATTCTTCAAATGCTCAATTTGAAGTCCGAGACAAAATTTGGTTCTCCCTAGATCTTTCATTTCAAATTCTTTCATAAGATATTTTGCAGTATTTTCAATCTCATCGGGAGTTCCAATAATATTTAAGTCATCAACATATACTGCAATTATGGCGAATCCCGAATTTAATCGCCGTATGAAAACACATGGACTAATTGGATCATTCTTATACCCTTCCTTAAGAAGGTATTCACTGAGACGATTATACCACATTCGTCCAGATTGTTTTAGTCCATACAATGACTTTTGTAGTTTAATGGAAAACATTTCTCGAGGTTTTGAGCTATAAGCTTCAGGCATTTTAAATCCTCCGGGAACTTTCATATAAATGTCTGTATCGAGTGAACCGTATAAATATGCAGTTACTACATCCATTAGGCGCATTTGCAGCCTTTCAAAAACAGACATGCCGATGAGAAACCTTAATGTAGTTGCATTAACTACTGGAGAATAGGTTTCTTCATAATCAATTCCCGACATTTGAGAAAACCCTTGGGCAACAAGTCGGGCTTTATATCTTACAATTTCATTTTTCTCATTGCGTTTACGCACAAATACCCACTTAAAGCCTACTGGTTTTACGCCTTTTGGCGTAGGGACTATCGGTCCAAAAACATCACGTTTTTCAAGTGATTTCAGTTCAGCCTGAATTGCTTCATTCCATTTTGGCCAATCATGTCGTTTCCGACATTCTTCTATTGATGTTGGCTCATTGTCATTGTTTTCATTCATAACATTTGTGGCAACGGCATAGACAAATATCTCATTAATATCAATATCTTTACGATTCCATTGCATTCCAGTAGAAACGTAGTTTATTGAAATTTCATAATTATCAACGTTTCTATCATTATCTGGAATATCTTCCTCATTTAAGGAAGTTGGATCATCATTTGAGATATTCGTTTTGTCAATATCATTTTCTATGCCAATATTTTCAAATTGTTCATTTTCTTGTTCAGAAGGATGAACATCTTTGGCATCACAGATCGATTCCTGCCTTTTAGTTTTTCTTGGTTTTATATCTTTCGATCCAAGTGGCCTGCCACGCTTTTTGCGTATAGAAGAATCATTTGCAAAAGATTTTTCAGAATTCTCTGTTGGGATTTCAATTCTGGCAGGGGCATTCATGGCAGGAATATGTGACTTTGTCACTTTCTTTGTGTCTGTGAATGCATCAGGCAACTGATTTGCAACATTTTGTAAATGGATTATCTTTTGCACCTCTTGCTCACATATATTTGATTTTGAGTCAAGATGTGATAATCCTGTTGCATTCCATGTTATTTCTTTCGTACTTGGGTCCGATTTATTAGTTTCTCCCCCTAAGGTTGGGAATACTGTCTCATTGAAATGACAGTCAGCGAACCGTGCGGTGAATAAGTCACCAGTCATCGGTTCAAGATATTTGATTATTGAGGGAGATTCAAATCCAACATAAATTCCCAACCTTCTTTGAGGACCCATTTTTGTACGATAAGGTGGAGCAATCGGAACATAAACAACACAACCAAATATTTTAATGTGTGCTAAGTTTGGCTCTTGTCCAGTAACTAATTGCATTGGAGAATATTCATGATACGCAGTCGGTCTAAGCCGAATTACATTTGCTGCATGTAAAATAGCATGTCCCCAAGCTGATGAAGGTAAATAACACTTCATTAATAATGGTCTAGCGATTAATTGTAATCGTTTAATCAAAGATTCAGCAAGACCATTTTGTGTATGGACATGAGCAACAGGATGCTCCACATCAATCCCAATCGACATACAATAGTCGTTAAATGATTGGGATGTAAATTTTCCTGCATTGTCAAGTCGGATTCTCTTTATAGAATGGTCCGGAAAATGAGCTCTTAATCGTATGATTTGAGCAAGGAGTTTAGCAAATGCTAAATTTCTAGTCGATAAAAGACTAACATGTGACCAACGTGTTGAAGCATCAATCAACACCATAAAATATCGAAATGGTCCACATGGTGGGGCTATCGGCCCACAAATATCTCCTTGAATCCTTTCTAAAAATGCAGGTGATTCAGTTGCAATTTTGTTCATAGAAGGCCTGATGATCATTTTGCCAAGAGAACAGGCCTTACAAGGAAAATCACTTGATAATGGAACCCTGATATTCTTTAATGGGTGTCCAAGTGAGGTCTTAATGATTTTATGCATCATTACTTGGCCTGGGTGACCTAAACGGTCATGCCACAACATGAATGTTTTCTGATCATCTAACTTTGTGTTAGAAACCAAATTTACTTCAAATGAACTAATATATGTGAAATATAGTCCTGAGGAATATGCTGACATTTTTTCACAAATATATTTAGTGTCAGATTTAGTTGTTGTAAGACAAATATATTCCTTTTGGTTTTCATTCATGGTTTCTATGTGATAACCATTTTGACGCATATCTTTAAAACTCAATAAATTCCTCCGCGATTTGCTGGAGTATAGAGCGTCATTTATAATTATTTGTGTCCCGTTAGGGAGCATCACATATGCTTTCCCAGAGCCTTCAATGAGCTTTGCAACACCTGATATGGTATTGACTTTAGCTTCAACTAAAGTCATTTGAGAAAAATATATTTTATTTCTCAAAATGGTGTGCGTTGTGGCGTTGTCTATCAGACATAGCTCTTTATCATTTGAGTGATCCATATCTTCAATATGTGCAAATAAACATAAGCTTGATCACAAATTGTACATATAATTTAACACAAAGTATATATATTACACATATTTATTTAAAAACAAAAGAAAAAGGGGAAGAAAGAAAAAGTACATAAAACTAATATGTTACAATATAAGGATTAGAGTCTAATATTTTATTTTGTGATATTTTGATTTATTGCAAAAGCATCGTCCATAATGGCATCATTCACGAAGAAGTCGGACACATCAAATTTTGTCAGAGGTGGAGTTGTGTCATTAACATAATTAGTTTCCACATTTTTGTCTTTGTTCAGATTCATGGAAGCTTGAAATAACTCCACCAGATGTTTAGCCGTGCGACATTTATTAGCCCAGTGCCCCGTCATGCCACATTTATAACAAGTCGTTTTTACTGAGGTTTTTGTAGGGCGATTTATTTGATGAGCTTTTTGTTTGCCCTTGCCCTTGTAATTCGGTCTTTCGACCCGTTTATATCCTCTGTAAGACTTGTTATTATGACCACTAAAATGCCCACGTTTAAAATGCCTTCTACTGCCACTGTGTGTTGCATTTGATTCAGTGGCTAAATTATGGCCAGATGGACCATAAATCGAAGGACTAGAACCGGTGGGTCTCAAATTGTGGTTTTTCATCAAAAGGTCATTGTTTTGCTCAGCTACCAATAATACTGATATTAAGTCAGAGTATTTTTTAAAACCCTTTTCTCTATATTGCTGTTGTAGCAGCATATTAGAGATATGCATAGTAGAAAAGGTTTTCTCCAACATATCAGCGTCAGTGACTTTTTGTCCACATAACTTTAATTTGGATGTTATTTGGAACATAGCAGAATTATAGTCACTGATAGATTTAAAGTCCTGGAATCTTAAATTGATCCAGTCATACTGAGCTTTTGGTAAAAGTACCTTTTGTTGGTGGCCATACCTCTCTTGTAAATTATCCCATAATTCTTTTGGATCATCAACCAAAAGATATTCAGATTTGAGACTTTCATGGAGGTGGTGACGGAGGAAAATTATAGCTTTCGCTTTGTCTTGCGAAGATGACATATTATTGGCTTCAATGGTGTCTTCCAATCCATTTGCTTTTAAATGTGCCAAGGTATCCACTTTCCATTCCAGGTATTTTTGACCGGACAGATCAAGAACGTCGAATTCTCGTTTGCTTATGTTTGCCATGATTTACTACATAATTATTGAGTTAACTTTAATTAGTAAATTATACTCATGTGGGTATGTGCATATTATATACTAATAGCATTATATAAATGATATAAACATATCACTATTAATCTACCGTAATAATAATAAAAAAATATATCACATACTCGTATTTTTTTTTTCTTCAGAAAGAGACAAAAAGAGATAAATCCATGAGTGATGTGTGTCCATATATCTTGCTTATATCTATTCCTAACTTGTACTTGGTGTATACGTGCCTTACAACTATAAAAGTTTATTTGTTTATTTAAACTAATGAGTGATGCCAATTTTGTTAGTGCTACGTGGCTTTCTGTGTTTATTATGCAGACCCGTGATGAAAAATTGCAGTTTTTTTTTGTTTTTGTTTTGATACTCAGATGCTTCTGAGCACTGTTTTTTTTTTCAAAAATCAAAGTTACCCCGTGAATATTTTATACGGTGTATGACTGTATATGATATCTACTATATATTTGAACTAATTCATTCTTTGTCTACTCCGACCCATTTTAGCCTAGTATTGTATCTCTTTACTTTCTACTACCGATTCCCGGTTCTACTTTTAAATATTTGTCCTGCTCTCTTCTCTTATTACATACGGAGAATAATATATGTTTCCACACGTCCTCTTCTTCTATCAAATTAAGAGTACGTATATGAAGCTCAACTAAAGAAACTACTGATTCACAAAGGTATGTATGGTATCTATATTTTTTTTTCATACGTATATGATGGAAATTTTTATTTAAAAATTCAGAGTAATTTTCTGGTTTGAGAACTAAAAGAAGATAATAGATATTGATGTTAATACCTGCAGGAGATGATGATTTCTTGAAGGTTTTGAGCAGATTCGTGCTGATAACGTGTTGTAAAATGAAGAAGATGAAGACTAAATTTGAGAGATAGATATATTAATAAAAGCTCTAAATATCTTCTTCTTAATATCTGAGAAGTTCTGAATTTCTGAATGTCTAAGTTAATTTACAAAGAATTGAATTAGCCCTATTTATACTAGCCAGACTTGGGGATGAATCATCTAGGAATGATTCTACACAATTTGCTGGCAGTATTAGATCTACCCATCTGTCTAACTATGATTACAAGGATATAAATTAGATGAGTAAGCTTATTACAAGGATCAGAAGTAGCTTGGTGTCCTAATGACAAGGATGGACATTCACACTTGTCAATTTGGTGATTTTACAACATCATGTTTTATAATTTCAATCATTTGTTTGTTTTTTAGAAGGAATTTATGATTTAGTTCATCAAGTAGTTTATGTTAGAACTTAGACTTGTAAGAATATTTATTTTTCATTTTATAATTCAATTCGAGTGTTATGATGTTTTTACTTGGACTGTAATTTGCTGGTCTGGTCTGGTCTGGTTTCGTTGTATTTTTATAACTATCCAAGCATGGTCTGGTCTGGTATGGTCTGGTCTGAGAAAAATTAAAGTCCAAGTAAAAACATCCTTAGATCCGAAATAATTTTTTTAACAAGAACAAGACGGCTTTATATTGATATCAAAGCATTCAGCAAGGGAACATGAAAGTAAAAGGACTACTTCCAACCACCGACCCTCGAATCAGACTTAAAGTCAATCATCCAAAATAAAGCAATATGACTCGTTGATCCTGTAATGGGTCTAAACGAGCCTAACGTGGTTAGAGTAAACCTTTCACCACCCCAACCTAATGCAAGAGTCTGGCAAAAATAAACGTACATCACCAAAATATATTATAACTTATTAATATTAAATGAAGTTCAACTCTACAAGCATTTAATATTTACTATTTGTGCAATAATTTTGGGGATTTTTGGCATATGATACCAAATAGTTTTAGAAGTTCACCCCGTAGCCACGTCCTAATGTCGTGCCATATCAAATTACATGTTTAGTAATAAATTCGGTAATATAACAAATAGTGGCGGAGCCTGAAAAACGACTCAGGGGGTCGAAACTCAACCTATATATAGAATAAAAATGGCTATTCGTTTTTAAACAAAGTTCGAGTTGAATATTTCATATGTAATTTAGAAAAATAGGCATTCGTAGCAATAAGATAGATTGACATTGATCCGTGTCTGAGTCGTATCACGTAAGTATTGAGTGAATTATACCCTACTTTTAAAATTTTGGTAAATAATCTATATTATGCATTAAATTCTGCTGATTTTACGTTTAGATAGTGCTGATTTTCCAAAAGTTATAACTTTTTACTCCTAATGAGTTATGATGGAGTATATGGCCCGGGAACACCCGGCCCACAGACTCCTACTACTCCTCTAGAGGCCCAACAGGCCCAGAAGGCCCAACAGGCCCAAATCACGGCGCCCAGAGTACCAAGCAGCCCACAATACGCACCAAGGGTGCCTTCGGCCCCCTGGCCGAAGGCTCCAAACTGTCACAGCATGGATATTTCGAACAAACAGAGGAACTGGGAGAAAACGGCGAAACAGTAGCCCTCGGCACCTGGAGCCCTCGGCACTCAGGGGCCCTTAGCACTAAGAGCCCTCGGCTAGTCCTCTGCAGCCGAGGGCACCTCTCCCGACATAATATCCGCCTCACATGCGTGCAGATCACCGTACCCTGTACAGACGTCCCATCCAACAGCCGCATTAAATGCGGCCACATGCGGTTGCCAGCGCCAACCAGTTGAGGTGACCCCTCGGCCAATAGGCGCTTGACACGTGTCCCTGTCCGGCATTTATTGCTACTATAAATAGCACCCCATTTCCCCATTTGTAAGAACGAGATTCATACTGAATACACTCTCTCTCTTGCTTACTTGTGCTCTGACTTCTCTCTAAGTTATTCTCAGCAATAACCCTTCGGATATATACCCCCGGGTAGACTATCCATCATTTGGTGCTCTCGTTGAGAGTTCGAACAAATCAAGTAAGAAACCCTCCCCCTTCGCCAAACACTATCCCTCTACCAAAATGGTGAGAACAACACGTGCCAACTCCAAAAACGTAGAAGACAAGAACCTGGCCCTCGGCGACGTCAACGCCCCCGAAGCCTCTCACAGGGCTCCTGAGGGCGGTGTCATCGCTGGGTTGGAACAGGCGGCTGTCGACCTACGCCTTCAGATCCAACAGAATGCCCCCGATGCCCGCCTCGGCATCGAGGCCAAGAAGAAAACCCGGAGCGATGACCAAGTCAGCCCTCCGGTTCTCACCATCGACGTGCAATCGGCGCTATCCGCCTTCATCCAAACGCTCACTCAGAACCCGGGTGCCTTCGGCACCTTGGCTCCGGCTCAACCCCAGGTTGGGGAAGACGTCATACTTCCCCCTCTGCCACACCCCTTCGGAAATCCCACCCCTCGGGTGAGAAACGACGAAGGGGTAATGGCCCAGGATACGTCCTCCCAGGAAGTACAGTCCCGGGACCACCACAATGACAACAGGGAGAGGCCCCGCACTTCCGCCCTCAACCGGCTCGGAGGAGGGCCAAACCGCCGAGGGGTCCAAGACCGCCTCGGAGGAAAGGCACTCCAAAGGCCCCAGGAGAGTGGAGGGTCTATCTCGAGGGCAGACGAGGAGCGTCCCCCTCGGGACAAAGGCAACACACCCCTTCATGCCAATGACGCTCGCCACCAAATCAACCAGGCCCACTCAACCCGGGTTCGTTCGCAGGGGCGGAGACCCTCCCGAAGGATCCCCGGGACGAGATTATTGCGGCCCTCCAACGCCGGCTTGACGAAATGGAGTCCAACAAAGCTCACGCCACCACCTCCACCCCTCATTCAGACCTCAAATACGAGGCCATGATGGCCAAAATGGAGGAATTACAGAAGAAGGTGGCCGAGTGCTCCGGGGAACCCGTCATCCAGCTCCGGACTCGGACGCCATTTACCCCAAGGGTATTGGCGGCCCGGATCCCGGAAAAATACCGAGGGCAACACATACAACCCTACAACGGGAAAACGGACCCCCAAGAACACTACAGCAAATACCAGAACAGCATGATGATGGTAGGGGCGTCAGACGAATATTTGTGTCGTTGGTTCCTCTCCACCTTAGAGGGGCCGGCATACGAATGGTTCAACAGGCTGCCCGAGGGCTGCATTGATTTGTGGCAAGAACTCGCCCAGCGATTCTTGACACAATTTGCCGGGAGGCGTCGCACAAGGAAGCACTTCTCCCACCTCCTAACCATACGCCAGAAGAGGGATGAGACCCTTCGGGACTTCCTGGAGCACTGGAAGACGGAGGCCGACAAAGTCGACGGTGCTGATGACGGGACCCTCCTGGCCCTCCTACAAACCGTCCTCCGCACCGGCAACTTTTCAAGGAGCCTCATCATTGAACCCCCCCGTGACTACATAAGGGCTTTGCAGCGGGGGGACCGATATGCTGAGGCCGAGGAGGTGGAGAAGTATCACCAGCATCCGGATCAGCAGCCCCCGAGGGCTGACAACAAGCATAACCGAGGGCCGGGGGCTCCTCCAAACCACCCCAAATCTTCAGGACCCTCTGATGATCGCCCTCGGCAAGGCCAACCCAAGCCCGGGGGAGGTTATAAGAGCAACCCTAAGACTTGGGCACAGCCCATTCTCCTGGACCGCCCCCGGACGCCATTGACGCACCCCGTCAGCATCATCCTTGATTTTGCCGAGGAGAGGGGCCTCGTTGAGCGCGATTCCCGCGCACCCCCGGAGGTACATGCTATCAACCCTTAGTTCCCATACTGTCGCTTCCATCGGCACCAGGGGCACAGAACCGATGACTGCCATCAGCTAAAGACGGCCATCGAGAGGTTGATACAAGCGGGGCACCTGTCCCAATTCGTTCAGAGCCCTCGGCAGGAGGGGCCTTCTCATCAGGGACCTCCCCGAGGGCACCACACGAAGGTAAACGCTTGGGTAAACCCGAACACCATCCCCCTCGGCAAGAAGAGGGAGATCGGAAACTTGGAAGAAGAAGAGGAGGAGTACCCCCACTACCAGGAGAAAAAACGCCACATCCTCATGATCACCGGTGGCAATACAGGGGGCGATTCCACCAGCCAGCGAAAGAAGTGGGCTCAATCGCTTTACGTGGGGGAAGTCACTCATATGCCCCCGGTAAAGCGACTGAGGGAGGAACCCATCACCTTCACCAACGCAGATCTCCCTCCTACTTCTTCTCCTCACAGGGATGCCTTGGTGATTCGGACTGAAATAAACGACACCATCATTCACCGAACTTACATTGACACGGGCAGCTCCGTCAATGTAATGTACCTCAGCACCTTCAGAGAGCTGCATCTGGAGAGGGGGTCCCTTCGGCCCATTAAGACCCCTCTTGCCAGCTTCACCGGCGACACTATTGATTACGAGGGGGTAATAACCCTCCCGGTGATCTTCGGCGACGGGCTCCATAGGGCCCAGCTCGAAGTGGAGTTCGTCGTCGTTAACATCGACTGCGCCCACAACATTATCCTCGGCCGGCCAGCCCTGGAGGACCTCGAGGCCATCATCTCCATGAGACACCTCTGCCTCAAGTTCCCCGCCGAGGGGGGCATTGGCTACTCCCGGGGGAATCAGAAAATTGCCCGCGCCTGCTATCTTCAGGTCACTAAGAAGGTAAGCAAGACGGAATTCCGTGTTGACACCATCACCGGAACCATCGACCAGGAAGAAAAGAGGTCGAGGGCTGAACCAGCCGAGGACGTAGAAGACTTTGCGCTCGATCCGGCCCAGCCGGAGAGAGTCGTGAAGATTGGAGCCCAGCTCCCTGAAGATCTGAGGACCGGTATCACCGACGCCCTCCGCGCCTACTCCACTGTCTTTGCATGGGGGGCGGAGGACATGCCGGGAATCAACCGAAGGTTCATCACCCACCGCCTCTCGGTGGACCCCTCGGCAAAAGCAGTACAACAACGAAGAAGACCCCTCTCCGCCGAGAGGAGGGAATTTGTGAAGAAGGAAGTCGCCATGCTCCTCTCCATTAAGCACATCAAGGAGGTGAAATATC